GTGGCCTCTCTGGGTGGCGAGGATAATCCATCGTGGCACATGAGTGGGAAATCTATCTACTCTAGTCTAAGACGCCAGAAAATCAAAACGCGGGGGTAGTGGACCAGGCATTGCATCCTTCCTCCGTGGCACCACCCAGGGCAACGATGCGGGCAAAGGGTGCCCGGGAGCGCAAGGTCTTCACCTGAAGTTTCTACAGATAGTGGCGGGAACAAAAGGATTAAGGAATCTGTCTTCAGTTGATCCCCGAATCTGAAGATTTGGAGCTTCTCAGCTTCTAAATCGAGGTGCCAGGGGCAGTGGCACCCAATCACCACTGAGGAAAACCGTGCGGATGCTTTGGAACTCATTGATTGGCCTCAGATGTACAGACCCAGAAGGCCTGCAAAAGGTTAAGGGAAGGCAACTGCAATGAAGCCCCAGCCAATTTTATAAAGCGCACTCAATGACGTGTCCCTCAGTATTGCGACCAAACGACTCCAAAACCTGGAGCGCTGCGGGTGCCGAGTCCCAGAAACCTCTTTGCTTTTGATGCAGGGTAGATGGAGGCTGCACAGCTTTCAGGAACTGGGCCGCTGGATCTGTCATCTATGGCTTTTACCACAAGCGGACATTGGGGGCAGCCAACAATGCGGCATGCGTTTAATGCAACTCGGGGACTCACGGCAGGCAGTTGCTGACGCAGCTCGGGCAATGATGAGGCACCGATGAGGATCCTTGGTCTGGGGCCGTTTGCAAGACCGATGCCTAGCGAGATCATCATACCTACTGATCCTACTGTAGCGGACCAAGCGTCTTTCCACCAGCAGCAAGTGTACCAAAAATGTCGTAGCACGACAAGTCGAAGCCCATGGAGGTCACAAACAGCAACACATCTGACTCCTGACAGCAAGCAAAGGCCATGACATCCGATGCCTCATGCCTTGGCATTCATGCACTGGCTTTATAGCTCCTTGATGTCATAGACTTTGTTCACCCACTCCTAATGGAGTGAGGAGTCACGCGAAGGCAGACCACAGAAAGGCTTCAAATTCCGCTGCAAAACCAACTTAATACAAGTCGGATCCATCTGGCAGGTCAGGTGTCAATCAAATGTACAATGGATCGATGACAGACGGCCACACCCTTTGGCAGCCCAGTCGACCCTGAGGTGAAAATGACCTTGGTGTAGGGAGAGAATACTGTCACCACGTCGGATTACATCCAGCATCACACTTGCTGTAGCAAGCAATCAGCAAAGTGGCATATGCCAGCTGCTGTGCCCTGTAGTCCCCATCACACCTGCACAAATGCGAACGTCTGAAGCACTGCAACCAGGAGAGGGTCTGCGCCTTGGAAGCGTTGGAAGAGCACCCCTTTCAGGGAGGACGAAACCAGGTTGACAGGTGACGGGCTCCAGGGAACTGGCCAGCCACGCCTGCAACAAAACAAAGGTTTGACCCAATTGTCGTGGATGGCTGCCTGCCTGGGCAACTCCCTGCTTGGCTGCTGTGACAAAGCCTTCAGCTTCCACCGCCAGGCCAATGCCTAAGAAGCCATGGTGGGAAACCTGCACTCATGTGCCTTGCAAGTCTGCTAAGATGTCGCCTTGCTGAGTCTCCTCCTCTCCAGTTTGCTCCTGGTACGGCGACACGCGAGAATGCTTTGCTTACGGTCAACTCTTCAAACAGACGCAGTTGCTGAACACAGGCTTGTTTGATGTAAACATCTCTCCAATTCCTATCGATTCTTTTATTTCGTCTTGCAGAGGTAATGGCAACTCGTGTAGCAGGTGGTTCAAATGTGTGGAGCTTGCAGATTACATGCTAATGGACATCCGTATGCCGTATGCCATTTTGGAAACCACAGTCTAAAGCACCTCCAGTTTCATCATATTTGTTTGCCCACCCTTCCCACCTAGTTATCATGGGTTCAATTAGTACCCCCCTCTATACTACCCCCCCCTGGTTCCCCCTTAATTAACCCTAATTATCCTTTAATAACTTTAATTAAGGCAGGAACCTAGGGGGGGGGTAGTATAGAGGGGGGTACTAGTTGAACTCATGAAGTTATCAGTTGAAGTTTTGCCTCCACTCTTGAAGCCTGCCTTTGTGCAGACCACTTGGAGCGAACAGAAGTACGTTCGCATCCGTCTGGCACACCTAGAACCTAGAACCAACCCGAATCAGAAACAGATTTTTGTCATTGCTGTGAGAGGAAATTGAGAAAACGATCGGAGCACATGTTCGGTAATTACATCGGTTTTCTTACACCGTTTGCACAGGCGTGAGACAGCACTAGAGCCTCCAGCTTCTCAAGCAGCCAACGCGAGGCCACCAACATTCCCGCACCTGCTGTGCGCAGCATCACCCGCACCTCAGCTAGTAATAAAAATGTCGCGAAAGTCTGAAGAAGATGAAGAAGACGTTACCATCTGGTTCACACATGTTCGCATTGTCAAGCCACTCGCTGTACGGGGAGCTTCTCGTCACAGGGCAGGTAGCCGGGACCGGCCTCAATTTGGAAAGTTCACAGTGCGACCGCAGCGACCGCTTCATCACATAATGATTCTCGACGAGCGGCCTCCATAGCTGCCAGTGCCAGAGCTATGGCGTGCCAACCCCGCGGCAGCCACAGGGCCACTGGACCAGTTCCTATCTGTACTGAAAAAAGTTTCCAGCTCTGAAACCTTGAATGGCAAGCTGGACTTGGATCCTTGCCTTGTAGCCCCTGGCCGACAGCGCTTCGCAGTGCACCAGCCAGGCTGGCACTGCATTTGAGCAACTCGGAATAGGTGACAACCTGGCTTTCGGAGCAGCTTGCGCTTCAAAATGTGTGGTGGGTTCTGGCACTCCAAGAACCAACTTCCTCGCAAAGTCAACTTGATAGGCTTGCTGTGGCATCCGGTTCCTCGACTGCCACATGGCCCTGCCAGCCAGCATACAAGCAGTCTGCGCTCATGAGGCGACCAGCATCTGTCAACAAAGTCAAGACGTGACAGTAGAACACTTATTAGTAGAAACTTCAGCCACAAGTGCCAACCCATCCTCGGGAAGAGTGGCCGCACGCGAGCGAATCAATTCGTGCAGCAACAGCCTGAGTTCTGCCAGGACTTGATCTGCTGAAATACGCCATCTTGCACAATGTTAGATGCATGCTTCCTGGCCCTTTCCCTTTGCAAATGAGCTGCCCTTCTCCTTGGCTTCCAAAATGTTTTAAGTGATTCTAATGAAGGATGGGCTCCATAGAGGCTGGCCTTCAAACGGATGCTGCGTCTGATTGAAGTCATGGACCAGCAATCTCTCCAGTGATTTTGAGCACAGTGCCAGCCGGGAGATTGGGATGCCACCTGGTCCGCTACACTTCCAACCACATTGGAAACGAATTTCATCTTGACATGAATACTGCTGCATACTCTTCTGAACCGAAACTCCAACAGATTCACCTCGGCCGCCCCAGCTCTGGATGAGACCCTCCACTGCCTTGCTGAAGACCCAGGCCTTCAACTTGCAGCTAAGGTGACCCCCATGGACACTGATGGGAAGCATGCTCTGCACAAAATCAGCTTTCGGGATCTTTTCGGGGAAGAAAAGATGAAGCAGGTTCCCTGGCTGCGAATGATCTGAGTCTACTACTTCGAGACGGAGATAGGAAACATAGTGAGGGACATACAGATTTCAAGCAAGTCCGATACAGAGGATTGTTGGCCACGATGAAGGTCATGTGCGGATTGAGTCATGGAAAAATCCCACCGCATCCATGCGGTGTTCCCTGGGCCTTGTTGCCATCAATTTGCCGAAAGTGCAGCTGCACCTTCATCGAGGAAGGCCCATGCCTGGAACGAGAGAGGGATAGACAGAGCACGGTAGTGACCAGGCCACAAGGTGATGTTGCCTGGTGATTTGCAGCTGCAATACCTCCGCATCATCTGGCTGGATGGCTTCGAAGCCTCGACAGGGTACGCTTGCTGTCTGCGCAGCCTGCCTGCGGAGTGCTTGCGACCAAGTGACCGATGACAGCAAAGGCAGGTAAGACAGGTCCGGAAGAAGACCGGGTCGGCAAAGGAGCCTTCGACCGAGCGGGCAGCTACAGATACCAATGCCAAAAGCGACATTCATCGCTACATATCGCTACCCAGCCTCGAGGGCTAGCTGCGCTTCTTGCTGCAGCTCTTCCAAACACACATCGCCCTTCAAGCGGAAGGATAGAAGAGGAGCCTTGCTGCATGTGCGCCGAAGACTGGATCAGCCGCAGACTGGGTCGAAAGATATGCTGCTTCAACTTCGACCAGTTCTCCAAAATTGCATGCTGGCACAGAGATACCCAGCCTTTTTACCAGCAGAGCAAACCGCCAGTTGCACGAACTCACCTCAAGCCCGCACGCTGTCTTCCAATATTATCTGACACTTCCTGAAGGCTTCTGGCCATTGGATATGCCAAGTGTCTTTTTGTAAGACGCCATGCAGCAACTGCTGCCGCTGCTGCCAAGCATGCAATTGGCGAGGCATTTGCGAAGACCTTCACAAGAACAAGGTCATCCCCCCTGAGAGAAATCATGCAACGGAAGGATCCTTCCTCGAAGGGCTCCAGACTTCTCCAACTCGCTGAACCGGCATCGCCCGGCGCCGCTTCGATGCTCGCCGGACTCGCAGAGCTTGCTGCTAGGGCCTCTTTTCCATCGAGAAAGACGACATGAAGTAAAACTGCATGGCGCCCGTTTCAGCTTGGGAGCATCTTCGCTCGTCAAGTCGCCCGCAGCGGCCATGAGCTAGAGACATGAACGCTGCTCAGCGCACTGCACACTGTACCTACACAAAAAAAGTCAGAGCCTGCAGGAGGGCATCCTTTGGCCCCACAGCTAGGAAAACTGAAGCTCAAGACTGAGGCTGAGCCAACGTGCCAAGCGAAGAACCATTGGCAATAATTCTCAAAACGCAAGGCTCTCCTACTGCAGCGCTACGAAGACACTAGAATGAGTCAGCACAAACTTTGTCTGCGCGGAGTCGGGAGAACCAATCCACTCAGAACTCTGCATGTCCTGGGTACCTTCCAAATGTTTGCGAGACAAGAGCCACGAGCCACATGCTCCGTCTTCCACTGCAGAATCCACAACGCACACAAAGCGGAGAAAGTCGCAGGCAAGCGGCCGAGGATAGGGTATGACATCGCGGATGTTCTCGACGCCGGTGGTCCTGGCTGTTATATTGAAGTTGCCATTCGGAGTTCAGTAGTGCGCAAGGAGCTGGCGGCCAAGCGGCAGCATGATCAATCGCTCGAAACCCAGACCAAAGCCGGAGTGCGGCACGGAGCCGAACCGTCTCAGGTCTCTGTACCTGGAAGAGCAAGGACAAATAAACTAGTCACTCACAGAGCCCAAACCATCAAGCGCACCACCAGTAATCCTGTGGTTCGAGTCCCATTTCCGTGATGCGTCTGTCCAATACGTCCAGCCTGCGGGAGCAATGCGGAGCACGTCAACCGCCTCATGCAAAGAGAGATTATTTTGCGGTTGCCAGGCCTCTCCTCACGCTGGGAGCCTCCAATGACCTGTGCTTCGGCAGCTCAGGCCTCCATGCCGAGCCCACTTTCGCCCGCCTCCCCTATCGCGGGCGCGAGGACGTCCATCGCGGCGACCGTTTTGTTGTCCTGCAAACAAGGGTTGAAACAATCAGCAGCGGCAGCAGCACTACCAGTCACTACCACCATCACCACCACCACCGGCAGTCCCCTTTTCGACTACTGCACGACACTCTGGTCCTCGTTGAGTCTCATGTAAAAGGCTTTTATGTCCTGTAAAGTCAGGGTTCGCCCACACAACATCCAAACAACACTGCGTCCCCTTTGCAAGCTTGTGCAATCTCTGACGCCTTGGGGTAGTTGTACACTACTGTGGGCTTCTTGAAAACCTGTCAGCTCAAAAGCCAACCAGCCAAGGCGACGTTACATCAGCTTTCTCTGCTGCCTTTTCCGCCAGATGGCGCTCATGCTCGGAGCCGAGATCCATACCCCATTCAACCGGCACCTTGACAGGAGGCTCTTTTGGGAGAGGAAACTAATTTGGCTTTGGCTTCGAGGAGTCCTTGCCTGAAACTTGGCTTTTGGCGACTCCTTGATCAGGATGTCTATCGCCTGGCAAGCTTTCTGTTTCCTGTGGAACCTGTAAGCTCCAAAGTTTGAATCCTTGTACTTGGAACCATAGCTCCTGTAATAAAAGCTCGCAAGAAAGCTAACTGGCCTCAGTGTAGGTGATGCGCGCAAAGGGTTCGGCAAGCAGGTTCTCCAATCTCTTGATGAGCCTATGGCTTCCACGTGTGACGCGCGTTGATTTAACAATACATGAACAGTGAAATGTGGGTGTCGGCTTGCGGTGCTGCACAAGTTGAGTCACACGCCCTTTCTCAATCTTGTCCTCGAAGAACTCCAGGTCCTCAAGTCACCGCTGCAAAGCAGTAGGACGACTCCCTTGCTGGAGCACAAAACTCTCTGGAGCCTGTTTGTTGTTCTGCATGACAAAGCTGACACAGTACTTCAGATAATCCTGACAGGATGCTTCCAGGTCTGCAAAGGTGACTCCCACCTTGCGGGAGCCAAGCTGAAACTGAATGTCTTTACGCCTTGCCTAGGTTTTAATCGGGGTGAGGCATCAAAAAAAAAACTTTATAAGCATCAAAAAACTTACGCCCAGCGCATCAAAAAACAACACTTATAAGCATCAAAAAAAACTTTTGTACTAAATTTAGTAGGGGCTCGGACAACAGGCAAGCATCAAAAAAAAACTTAACTTTGCTGCCATCTAAATAGAAGCATAGTAGAAGTAGTGGTAGTAGGGCAAGCATCAAAAAAACTTCATTTTGGTGGCATCTAAATAGGACAAGTAGTAGAAGTCGTAGTAGTGGTAGTAGTAGTAGTAGTACTAGTACTAGTACTAGTACTAGTACTAGTAGTGCTAGCAGTAGTAGTGGTTCCCCTACTGCAAACATTCCACCCCTCTCTTTCCATCCCGAGGATTGGGCTACGGGTTCGGGCTAGGGTCCTAGCAAGGGGGTTAAGGATTCGGGCTTGCTAAGTTTACATACTTTACGCAAGAACCCCTATTATAAACCCATTGCCTATGTTGCTAAATAGACTTACTAATTCAAGAGAGCTGCCAAATGATGGCTTGGGTCTAGACAATGCATATATCAAAGCAACCAGGGTGAAGGTCGAGCTACTTGGGGAGTGCATGGTGGGTACTCGTGATCTTGCTCTACTAGAGCAACCCGTGAGGGACTCCATTCGGTGGGTCGTGACAATCGTGTTTCACTTTGGGGTCCCTACTCTTATACGGGCCCTTATTTGTCCTGGGACCTCACAGGGGCGACCCGGATTCTGACGACATCTCATATATGGGGGTCCTCTGAAAAAAAGTGTATATATAATATATACATATATGTGTGTGTATACGGGACCGTTGTGTCTTAGAATGCTTTTAGGGTTTTTAGGGTTTAGGATTTTCAGGTTTAAGGTTTTTAGGGTTTAGGTGGTTTTATTGTTTTAATGGTTTTTTAGGTAGTTTTAATGGTTTTACGGTTTAAGGTTTTTAGGGTTTGTGATTTTGAGGGATGAGGTTTTTTTTAGGGTTTGTGGTTTTTAGGGTTTAGGGTTTTAGGGTTTAGGATTCTTAGGGTTTAGGTGGTTCTATGGTTTTTTAATGTGATTTTTCGGGAGTTTTTAATGGTTTTGAGGTTTAGGGTTTTAGGGTTTAAGGTTTTTTAGAGTTTAATGTTCTTAGGGTTTAGGGTCTTTAGGGTTTAGGTGGTTTTTAAGGTTTAGTGCTTTATGGTTTTTAGGGCTTAGGATTTTTAGGGTTTAGGTGGTTGTTAGGGTTTAGGGTTTTGAGGGTTTAGTGTTTTAGGGTTTCGGGTTTTTAGGGTTTAGGGTTTTTTGGGGTTTAGGGTTCTGTTTTTGTGGTTTAGGGTTTTTAGGGTTTAGAGTTTTTAGACACGCGCATCAGGGTTTTTCCCCTCCCGCATCAGGGTTTTAGGGTGTAGGGTTTTTAGGGTTTAGGGTTTTTAGGAATTAGGGCCTCTTATGGTTTTGGCTCTTCTCGGTAAGTTTGCAGGCCTCCAAGGTTCAAAAACCATAAAAATCTCACTTCGTCCAAAACTTAAAAAAACTGCATATCCATTGGCCCTGCCAGTGTCTTC